AAATGCATTGTTTTACCCCCGCTGTAGAGCTGATATCATCTCCCTGCTTCACGTTTGCATCAAAGTTCCAGCTCCACCAGAAGAAGGAACAACATCTGAAAGCTGTTTACAGTTTTCACAGATCCAGTGACAACGATCGGAGGATCAGATGGGAATGTTTAATAGGCTGAATGTTGAGGAGCAGGCAAACACATTTCCCCTGTTGGTGTGACAGCAGAGGCGGAGCCAGAAATTTTTTATAAGGGTGGCCAGGCAATAACTGAGGGGGGAGCGAAAGTGGATCAGCATCAGAACCTCAGGGTCAATCTACTCTGTTCCAACAGAAAAATTTACGTCCAAATTTTCAAAAATAAAGACTAATTTTACTTTCCTACAGCCTTTGCTAACAAATAAATGCATATATTTAGACATCCATGGTGTCTAAATTAAAAGATAAAATTCTTTCAGGTTTGAATTCTGGGGCGAACATCTTATTTATTCTCATTATTTACCTACTTTTATCAATAATCCGTCGGTATAACATTGATATTTAAATGTACTAATATCTACATGAATTGATGTTTTAATACGTTTTTCTTAAAATACTAATTTATTTATAATTTCACTAAAGACTCCTAGATGACTTAAAGAGACACATAATTTTCTCTTTACCACAAATAACTAAAAATCTAGTTCTAAGAAGAGAATTAATTCTGTGTTTATCATCTTTAATGTTAGTATATTGATGAGCATAATTAACCACAGAGTTTATGTTGTCAAGTAATTGCTAATATATGAAAAAATGAAAATGTTTAGAATATTCCTCTTGAGAGTATTATTGCTGCCACCCTCTGTATTAGAGAGAGAAAATGGTCGGGGGGGCCACAGGGATGGACAGAGGCGGAGCTAGGTGGGGGGCCACCCCTGGCCCCCCACCTAGCTCCGCCTCTGTGGGACGGGCATCAGCTCTGTTGCATCCAGGCTCTCTGGACGCGTCTCTAAGTTGTGATGGGAATAAAGAGTTAACTGTTGATGAAATGTTAGATGTTTAGAGTCAGACATGAGGCTAACATCCAGCCACCACAGAATATGATCTCCTGTTTGAAACCCCCCCACGGCTCCGTCCTCATTAATCTAAGGTTTCTTTTTAAAGAGCTTTGTTAACATTTATCGTGATGTAATTGGTGCTTTGATAGAGAAATAAACCAGTTTAGTTCTGATAATGATTCTCTGTGATGCTCTATGAGGCAGAGGCTGGATGATGAGCAGCTCCGTTTGGACGTCAACGTGAATCCTTTCCTTTGCAAAGTGCTCAGTGTCTCCTTCTCCACTTTTATGACTTTGAGTCTTTAGACTAACTAAAGCCCAGTCTTTAGTTAGTCTCTGGCGCCACCTTGTGCCTGTCTCCTTTCCTCTAGCTCCCTTCTAGTCTCTTCCATCCACACCTGCTCCCTATCAGCTGATCACCCCAGTCTTTTTTCTGTCTCCCATATATACTCTCCCTGTGCAGTTCTTCAGATCCAGCTGGGGGTCTGGAGTCAACAAGTCATCTCTTTGTGGTGTATTTGATCCACCCAGCCACTGAACCACCTGGGCAGATTGGACTCACCTGGTCAGAACAAATACATGACATAGAGATGACTTGATGACTCCAGACCCCCCGTCTCTGGGAAGAGATGGGGGGTCACTCAGCTTCACTGACAGAGATGTGAGTTTTTTAGGAGGGCCAGTAACACATGGTGGAAAATGATGGAATATATGATGTTGTTTCATTATCAGCAGAAGGTGATTAAAGACAGAGAGCTAGTCTCTAAAACAGACATGGCTACAGCCGGATGCTCTTAAAGTTCTTTTTTCTGCCTAATCCTCTTCCATATAAAAAAAGTCTCCTTTTTTGTGCATTTGACTAAACTGGGGTGAAAACGTTCACTATTTAACTACTTTAGAGATGATTTTCTGTGTCTCTCTATAGTCTGTTCCATGCAGCTCAGTAAACCATGAAGCCAATGTTTTTTTAAATGCATGCTGGCTCATTTGATAGGTGTGATAATCACGCACCCATTTTTAGAATCTAAATCCTCGCCTCTTTTCATTCAACCACATGCTTTCTTTTGTGCGTAGATCCCAGGCTGCTGAGTAATCGTCTAATCTTATGCCCCAGTGGTGCCATGTGGGAACCACGCTGAACTTCTATTCCTCTCCTCCTTTATTTCCAGCAATAGAGACGCGGTGCTGTCGTAATGTGCGATGAATCCGTTCAGAGATCGCTGATGGTCTTTAAATGTTGGCAAGGCGTAGCTCTGCATGAGAGTCATTCATTGTCACCCATTTTACATTTAGATCCTTCTGTCTCTTAGCGACTTGGATTCGCTAAAAACAATCCTGTTTGCTTCAAACGTTGACTGAAGTCCAGCAGGTAACTTCCTGTTTTTTCATCTCTAATTGTGCCAAGTTCAGCTTTGAGGCCTGGAAAGTCTGTCCAGCAGTTTTGTAGCATTTTTCATAAAGAAATAATTAATCATTCTGATTCCATCAGAAGTCATGAAAGGTCTATTAGTCAAAGGATGATGGATTTCCAAAGGCCTGAAACCATCTCTGAACCTCTTCTACGTGTTGAGGGGCAGCTGTCTCTATAGA